GACGTGGAGGATTTACTTTAGCATTTAACGGTCCACGTAGATTTTTCGTTATCCATTTGAATAGATGCATTGACATAATGCATTCTGTGAGTAAGTGAGTGCGATGAACATAAGTTCGATGACTAATGGGAGAATTGATGAAGTTCGATGAATAAGTCGTAACACGTGCAAAGTTTGGTAGTCGTTGATAAAACATTAAGTACAATGTCATACCGCTTGCAAGTTGTAATACAGAACAATTTCATCAATTCAATAGGATTATTCAATAGGACTATGGGCCATTCAAATTTCGTATCCTTCTCCTTCCTCGCTTATGTATACCCCGAATCCCCGTAATGGCAACTCAACGGATCCAGTTCATCCGCCCATTCACCCTATCTTATCGTAATCATAATCATGGATTCGAAAACAGTAACAACAAAAAGGCTAATCTGCCCTGTTACGCCGGAGGCCGGAGCGGAGGGTCCAATTGGGATGGGGAGAGGACTGTTAAGCCCAAACAAAGGTCCAGATTTGGCAACCAATATGTGACAGATGAATATGATGGCGAGGAGGAGGAGTTTGGGTTCGGGAACGCCGCGAAGCAGAGGATTTGGTGGTCTGAAGAGTGTTATGACGAAGGTGAAGAAGAAGAGGATGAAGGATTTGGGATTCTCGAAGGTTCCATTGGTTTTAATTGGATTTTCAAGGTATTACTATAAAAACTATTCTTTTAAGTTTGTGTGCTTAAAGCATGCTTGTTTAAGCATGAAAAAAGTTTACTTGTGCACAAGAACTCACTTATAAGTACCAAGTAATTATGAAATAAATAATTAATTTTACTGGTGAAGGTAAGAAATGAGCAAGTTTCGTTGTGATTGAAAGTTACTTTTCTAGACTTAATTTTTGCAAAGTAAGTTTTGTTAATAAAAATAGAAACTTTGAAAAGAGGAGGCCAGAATTTCCTTGATTATCCCACGGAAGCACAAAGAAGCTAATAAGTTTATATATTCTTCACTGTGCACTCATCATGATCTATGTAAAGTAAATTGGCAATTGTGGGATAGCATATGGGTTTATAGTGAGAAATGGCTGTACAATGCCTATCTGTAGGAAGGCAGTGGGCTCTTGCCTTTTTTTATTACACGATAACATAGAAATTCAGAAGAATGAAGGTGGAGACGACGTGAATCTAGATTTCCCCATTACACTACATCATCCAAAGCGTAAAGGATCGGGGCAGTGGTCGATCCTCCACCTCAAAAGTAATTTTTTGAACTAAAAATCGCCATAAACCGTAACTTCTAAAAAATGTCAAAATATGTTTGGCAAAACAGTTGCTTAAAAGTAACTTTAAGCATTACCGGATATGCTCTTGGTGAGATGAAGTGTTCAACCAAGAAAGAAGTAAAGTTTCGGATAGGAAAACTGTAATGTTGGAAGTAAAGTTAGTAACGTCTATAGGCACATGTAACTGTTTTTCTTTCACTGGAGAAACGCCCTTATGGTATACACCACAAAAGGAAACTTTTTATAAAATGATACAATCTTTTTTGTTTTAATTTTGAAGAATTCATAGAAACTCATGGCCGACTTTACTAAAAAGTTACTTCTTTAAATATTTTGATTACGGCTAATAGATTAGTGCAAGTTACTAAGAATTATGTGTTTATCTATGTCCAGTTATCTTTTAAGCATTTCGGTATGTAGAAACTAGTTGGGGGTTAGATTTGCAGCTTTCATCCTACTTTTCTATCATTCTATTGTAAAATTAAAAAAGCTTTTGTTTTATTGAAAACAATGAATAGTTTCCCGTATGATTAGTTGATTGGTAATTTGATTGAAAGAACAACTCGTGTGGTAGCTGATCAAACGGAATGTCATATACTGAATTTCTGAACATATATATCATGGGAAAAGGCACTATTTAGCCCCTACTAACAGCCCGAGTAGCAAGTTGATCCCTAACATTTAAAAAGGATCAAATTGCTCCTCGGTCCTTCATTTTAGTTGCACAATCAATCCCTGATGATGAAAACTGTCCAAATCTACATAGAATCATCACATAACCCTTCCTTCACCAATCTTTTGGATCAAGGTTTTGTTTCCTAAATTGGTCGGTGCCTAAAGATTTGAAGTGAGACGTGTCTGTTTCCCTTAAGCCATATTACTATTCCACAAAGTTTTGGATGGTTTCGACTGTTACGATCTGATTGTGCAACTATAATGAAAGGATGAGGACCAGTGACCACCTCGCTCTTTTTAAACGTTGGGGACTAACTTGCTATTCGGGCATCTCAAGCATTCTGTTTGCTTTGTATGACATAATTGGGTTGACTCTAATACAGGTATTCAGGGCCTTTGGTTGGATGCTTCCAGCCATCATGATATCACTGCTGCTCGGAACAGGGCCCAATGCCATCATCATGGCTATAGCTTTACCGCTTGCACAATCAGCACTTTCATTAGCTGCAGATACATTATGGGGAAGGTCTGGTGACACATCGAGACTAAAGTCTAAGGGCAAGAAGTGGACATACACTGGAGCTACTAGTAATACTAGAGTCGGAAAGGAGAAAGGAAAAAATCCTCAGACTAGGAAGAAGGAAGCAGGGGATTATCGGTCATGGGCAGCTGCAAATAATGTTTCGACAAAAAGTGGGAAGAGGGAGCAACGGAATTTTGGTGGATGGGACGAGCTAGACAAGAAAACAAGAGTGGACAAAGTGTCTAATACGTGGCCAATTGTAAAGGCAAATGAACCAATAGTGCAAGATAAGTTTAAAATGAGCAGGAGAACAACGAAAGGTACTCCATTACTAGTGAGACTGCTGATTGCCGTCTTCCCATTTTTGGGATTCTGGAACAAATTATTATGATAAAATCTTATGGCATGTTTAGGATTATGGTTATTTGTCCTGGACGGTCTCAAAGCAATCTGCTTTACATTCATGAATGATATGCAGTGAAACGACTATGCCCTTGTGACTTGTTTGGTAGGGTGGAACTGTGGAAGCTAAATTTTTGCTATTGCATTGTTCAGTCTGGTCAGGTATAGTCTAGTCTAGCATACCAAACACTTCTTTACTGTTTTTCTTGGTTCCATCTGCACCATAATGGGAGGTGAATCATAATAAATTCTGTAATATAATGTGCAGTCATTTCATTCTCCAATTTGTGAGTCTAGAGCAACTGTTGATTAGCAAGTTGAGTTGTAAGTAATCCTCTTTCACCACCGGAAAAGTATCAGTGTATAAATTTTTTATTTCCAGATTTTTTAATGAATAAAATGTAGTCATATATCACTCAATTGCCTTTTTTGGTGGAAGCTGGGTTGTTACTTTTCTTTGCAATCACTCCTGCCTAAAAAGGGCCGGGTCAGTTGCAGAGAGGCCTGGACAATCCCTTTTGCTCGGGCCAGCCCAGATTTTGTGACGGGCTTGTTTCGCGTTTCTCTGTGACATGTCTTGGCCTTTGCCCTTTAGGCCCAATTTATTATTGTGTTAATAGGTGTTTTTATTCAACTTTTATTAAATTGCTTTTTGAATGCCAAATTCGGAGTGGCCCATCTTCCTAGGCAGCTCGACTTGGCACTGGGATTTTCATGGGCTGAGATGTCTCGAACTTGCACTATTTTGATGGCAAATATTTACATTCATGATGTGTAGAGCTACAGATAATCAATCATTTTGGCTCTTTAATTCAATTCCTATTGAATCTTTGTACTGTAGTTTTTGTCTCTTAGGATCACGATGTGCAGATATAGCCAAACTTGCAACTTGGCCACAACTATTGTCCACTTACGAACCCCCTCCCCACAAATTAAAGTATTATTCTCGATAAATTTAAAGTTATTTTTGTCATTTTATTTGAGGGAAAGCGATAAGAATTCAAACAAACCGTATTTTACTGAAAATGAATGAACCATGAGAACGAATTTAGCTAGCTATTACAGAGTACATGAACACCTGAGAAAAGTAGACGAGTGCCCCCTTGATTAGCACTTTAGTTGGTAATCATATCGTCCTCTATTTATTTCGTCACGAGCATTCTCTCACAAATCTCACATCTTGGCGAGAAGTAGAAAGACGCTTGATGGTTGGTCACGTCACCAATCTATAAATATTTTCTTTGAAGCAGGAGTTCACTTATCTATATATGAATCTAGACTATGTCTCTTGCTAAATCTATATTTAAATTTTTTTATTTTTCACTATAGAAAATAGCATAGATATTTCATCGAAAGAATTGAGGTCTTACAATGTCGCGCCCATAAATATCAAAACATAAAATAATCAAATATGCCCCTGTTTGAGCCACATTAAAATTTTCGTTCTGATTTTTCTACTCATTTTCAACCACACATTCTTTGATAAAATAATATTTTCCATCACATCAATAACTTTTCATTCTTTTTCAACCACACATTCTCCATCAATCTACTATTTCAAAATACATTCTCTATCAACCACACTTGGAAAAAAATTGATGCCTAAGTTTGGACCTTTCATGATGTCTACCACAAGATAACTACTTTTAATTCTCATCATCCATTATTGCTCCCCAAGTCCAGAAGTCCAATACGTGTTGACAAGTTTTAAGGCTGCGGTCCATTTCCCACAATTTTGCAGATGATCAATGAGTGATTGTGGCTATAGTAGCAAGATTCGATGTAAAATATTTTGGGCATAAAATTAGAAGAATGGCTTAACTAGGAAAAACTTAAAATGAAAATAAGAAAAATCTCTTAACTCCAAAATTATTAATGGTTTATAGAATATTTCCATCCCCGTGTGACTAATTTGTGAATTTCTATCAATTACTTTATGTCGAGAAGTAGTTTTCTCACTTGAACTAGATATAGTATATCCTAAAGGCAAATGTAGGTGGAGAGACAATTACTATATTGAATCTAGCAAAATATGCTCAAGGGGCTGTCTTTTGCTTAACAAATGTGAAAGATTAAGCACCCAAGTTTTCTATTTAAACTTTGAGGATCAACTTGATACATAGACCATAAGTTGAGACCACCACTGTAATTTTTCCTTATTTTGAAGATGATGAATTTATAATTATAATTTTTTTATATAAGTTAACATATGTAAATATGAAATGATGACAAAATTAATAATATTGTGACAAATAGTCATATCATTATAGTGAAATTGTTCTCGTGCCCACAGTGGACATGACAAGATTGCTCATTTGTTGACGTAACAGGAGAACCTTATTTACAATTCTTTTCAAATGTGAAAACCGTAAGTAAGGTTCTCTCCAAGTGTGCAAAATAATATTTCTCAATGTGGACAGAAGAACATGTCTAATCATTATAGTTTATGTGGGAGTTATGATCTTGTTGTGGACTTGTTGCGGGTTCGATTCTCCTCATCTCAAATTGAGGGGCATTTGAATTATCATTTTCATCATGATATATATAGGCAAATCCACCATGAACTGTTAAGTCCATTCCAGCCATTTCATCTTCACTTGAAATCCTGAGTAGCCTCAATTTGTGTAGACCATAGAAAAGTGGTGCCATTGTGGCTGTGACCCACCCAAAGATCACCAAAATTTGGATGATTTGGGCTGCTAACAACCTCCAACCACCTCCCATGAACAACCCATGCGGCCTCCCTCGCCGCCCTTGATACACCTCGTTAACATAGGCCTCTTTAGCAAATAATCCGGTAAATAACACACCCCACGCGCCACATCCACCGTGCAATTGTGCTGCCTCAAGTGGATCATCGTACTTCAATTTCTCTGCAAATATGTTGAACCCTATCAAAACCCAAGCCGCCACAAAACCGCATATAATAGCTGCCCAAGGTTCAACGACCGAACATCCAGAAGTTATTGCAGCAAAACCTCCTAATAAACCGTTACATTCATCAATCACATTCCAATGACCAACCAATAATCTCTTGCCAAACAATGTCGTTAGGGCAGCCGTGCTTCCGGCCAATGTCGTTGTGACAGCAGTCCTTCCTACCGCACTCCACTGGCCATAATATGTATCACTAGTGTCATAAGACTTGGATATGGATAAAAATGAACCGGGATTGAAACCATAGCAAGAAACTGCCCAAGACTACAAGTGAAACACTGTGGCCACGCAAAGCCACAGACCGGCCTGACCGGTCGAACCGACCTATTCTCGGGCCTTCAATAAGAGCACCCCAAAAACCAGCAATGCCCCCTACCATATGCACGACTCCTGAACCGGCAAAATCAATGACTCCAGAGCGAAAGAGAAGGTGGTTATCTAATTTTGAGGCGCTTGCCCAATCGGCACCGGACCAGAACCAGTGTGACACGATGGGGTACACAAAGCCAGTCAAGAAAGAGGAGTATATTAAGTATGCTACAAATTGTGTCCTTTCTGCTATGGAACCACTAGTAATACCTAATACAAGGTGTTCATGTAAATAGGAATTAATTAAAAAACAATTAAAATTTCTAAAAGGAATAGGAAAAAAATGTAATTTGGATGCTCGTAAATTCTTCTTTTACGTAAAAGCTATTAAGAATTCGTTCAAGAAAAAAAACAATTCTTTAAACCAAATTTTCCTTAGTAGAAAGTTATTCATTTATTTCTCTTCAAATCCTTTTTGATTCGTGTTAGATTCTCATTATTTACATTCATGATGTGTAGAGCGACAGATAATCAATCATTTTGGCTCTTTAGTTCAATTCCTATTGAATCTTCGTACTGTAGTTTTTGTCTCTTAGGATCACGATGTGCAGATATAGCCAAACTTGCAACTTGGCCCCAACTATTGTCCACATACGAACCCCCTCCCCACAAATTAAAGTATTATTCTCGATAAATTTAAATTTCTAGATTACATGATTATTTTTGTCATTTTATTTGAGGGAAAGCGATAAGAATTCAAACAAACCGTATTTTACTGAAAATGAATGAACCATGAGAACGAATTTAGCTAGCTATTACAGAGTATACGAGTGCCCCCTTGATTAGCACTTCAGTTGGTAATCATACCGTGCTCTATTTGTTTCGTCATTATCATTCTCTCACAAATGTCACATCTTGGCGAGAAGTAGAAAGACGCTTGATGGTTAGTCGCATCACCAATCGATAAATATTTTCTTTGAAGCACGAGTTCACTTCTCTTTATATGAATCTAGACTATGTCTCTTGCTAAATCTATATTTAAATTATTTTATTTTTTTACTATAGAAAATAGCATAGATATTTCATCGAAAGAATTGAGGTCTTACAATGTCGCGCCCATAAATATCAAAACATAAAATAATCAAATATGCCCCTGTTTGAGACACGTTAAAATTTTCATTCTTATTTTTCTACTCATTTTCAACCACACATTCTCTAACAATCTACTATTTTAAAATACATTCTTTCAAAATAATGTAGCTCAAACACACTTGGAAAAAAATTGATGCTTAAGTTTGGACCTTTCATGATGTCTACCACAAGATAACTACTTTTAATTCTCATCATCCATTATTGCTGCCTCTGTCCAAAAGTCCAATATGTGTTGACAAGTTTTAAGGCTGTCCATTTCCCACAATTTTGCAGATGATCAATGAGTGATTGTGGCTATAGTAGCAAGATTCTGTTGACGTTGAAATTTGTATGGACAAATCTCAAGCCAACTAAAAAGGAACGACGTATAAGATTCTCATTGAAATGTTCAAGTGTTTATAGAAATTGGATACAATAATCTCTTTTTTCTTATTATCACAAGGAGAATTTTACAATATGAAAGATATACTAGGAACGTATACAAGCTTTTTTCACGTTCTTCTCTTCTCCTCCCTTTTTGGAACTTTGGATTCCTATTTATAGAGGAAAATATGCGTGCATGGTACTTTCCCTATCTTTTCACTGCAATCCCGAGCTGAAGAAGTCCAGCAGCTGGCGCAATAGGAGTGGTCGCCGAACTAGACTTTTTCAGAGTTCCTCAGAACATTAATGACAAGTGTCCCCCCCGTAATTAATTTATAACTTATGAGAGGCAGCTAACACATCTGATTGGAGGATAAAGAGGGGCTGACGTAAGGCCTTTCTAGGGGTTCTTTCGTGATTGGCTGCTTACATATCCTGTCAGAGATATCTCATTATTACAATATCTTTTCGCCTTGGAAGACTACACAAACTTCTCCACGAAGTAACAAGCTGACCTCGTCCCAGCCGAACTTATTACATTACCCAATGATACTATAGACTGATTTAGACCTGGCTTGTTACCGAACTCAATATACTACCGAGCTCAATATCTTACCGAGCTCAATCACGTGTTGTGCTAATGGTACTCAATCTTTCCGAGCTTAATGACCTCGGAGGTCGGTGTCAACAGATTCGATGTAAAATATTTTGGGCATAAAATTAGAGGAATGGCATAACTAGGAAAAACTTAAAATGAAAATAAGAAAAATCTCTCAACTCCAAAATTATTAATGGTTTATAGAATATTTCCATCCCGTGTGACTATTTGTGAATTTCTATCAATTACTTTATGTCGAGAAGTAGTTTTCTCAATTGCAAAATAATATTTCTCAATGTGGACACGAGAACATTTCTGATAATTATAGTTTATGTGAATATTTAATTATCGTTTTAAGTAACATTTCTCTAACACAAAGATGCAAAAATGTAAAACTAAAATACAAAGACTTTGCAATTGGGTTGGTTGAAGGCAATCACTTAATAATAAATTAATAATGAACCTTTTCTTTGTTAAGCCAAACACAAACTTTCATTCATTAGGAACACCGCCGCAAGCCACGGCCGAAATAGAAATTTGGATACAATTAAACATGAGTTGCACTAGTAGAATCATGCTACATGAACATAATGGTTGACATAATCATTGACATAATGCCACATGTCAACCTATTATTGGACTCTTTAAGACAGTCAACTTTTTCAACCAATCACTTCCTGTCAACACTTATTTTGTCAATCATTATGTCACATTTTTCGAGCAAAGTAGCATTATTCGGGTAGAATAGCTTAAAACAAAAAGCATGTTTGGAACTCTATTTTATCTAAGATGCAATACGATGAGAATTAAATATCCAACATACTGTAAAATATTATACTAGTTGATGAAACTTTGACCTGACATATATGCCGAACTTACGCGACGAAATGTGAGTTATGATCTTGTTGCGGGTTCGATTCTCCTCATCTCAAATTGAGGGGCATTTGAATTATCATTTTCATCATGATATATATAGGCAAATCCACCATGAACTGTCAAGTCCATTCCAGCCATTTCATCTTCACTTGAAATCCTTAGTAGCCTCAATTTGTGTAGACCATAGAAAAGTGGTGCCATTGTGGCTGTGACCCACCCGAAGATCACCAAAATTTGGATGATTTGGGCTGCCAACAACCTCCCATGAACAACCCATGCGGCCTCCCTGGCCGCCGCCCTTGATGCACCTCGTAAACATAGGCCTCTTCAGCAAATAATCCGGTAAATAACACACCCCACGCGCCACATCCACCGTGCAATTGTGCTGCCTCAAGTGGATCATCGTACTTCAATTTCTCGGCCAATTTGTTGAACCCTATCAAAACCCAAGCCGCCACAAAACCGCATATAATAGCTGCCCAAGGTTCAACGACCGAACATCCAGAAGTTATTGCAGCAAAACCTCCTAATAAACCGTTACATACATCAATCACATTCCAATGACCAACCAATAATCTCTTGCCAAACAATGTCGTTAGGGCAGCCGTGCTTCCGGCCAATGTCGTTGTGACAGCTGTCCTTCCTACCGCACTCCACTGGCCATAGTATGGACCCTAGTATCATATGACTTGGATATGAAGAAAAATGAACCGGGATTGAAACCATACCATCCAAACCATAGCAAGAAACTGCCCAAGACTACAAGTGAAGCACTGTGGCCACGCAAAGCCACAGACCGGCCTGACCGGTCGAACCGACCTAGTCTCGGGCCTTCAATAAGAGCACCCCAAAAACCAGCAATGCCCCCTACCATATGCACGACTCCTGAACCGGCAAAATCGATGACTCCAGAGCGAAAGAGAAGGTTATCTGATTTTGAGGCGCTCGCCCAACCGTCACTGGACCAGAACCAGTGTGACACGATGGGGTACACAAAGCCAGTCAAGAAAGAGGAGTATATTAAGTATGCTACAAATTGTGTCCTTTCTGCTATGGAACCAGTAGTAATACCTAATACAAGGTGTTCATGTAAATTGGAATTAATTAAAAAACAATTAAAATTTCTAAAAGGAATAGGAAAAATTGTAATTTGGATGCTCGTAAATTCTTCTTTTATGTAAAAGCTATTAAGAATTCGTTCAAGAAAAAAACAATTCTTTAAACCAAATTTTCCTTAGTAGAAAGTTATTCATTTATTTATCTTCAAATGCTTTTTGATTCGTGTTAGATTCTCATAATATATCAATACTAAAAGGTCTACCACTTTATGAATTACATGCAGTTGAGCAATATAAACAAATACCTGCAGCAGCAATGGCGAAAGCCCATTGATAGAGAAAATAGCTGTAATCAAACAAAGAAGTGGGGAAGTTCTTGAGCCCAAATTCATGGTGGCCAATGAATCCATTAGATGGTGCACCAAATGCAAAGGCAAACCCGAAAAGATAATAGGATAAGCCCCCTGCCGCGGCGTCAAGAACGTTGGTAAGCATTATATTCATGGTGTTTTTTGCACGTACAGAGCCAGCACACAGCATGGCGAAACCAAGTTGCATGGCAAAGACTAAATAGGCAGAGAATAAGAGATATGTATTGTTAATGGCATAGTTGGCTTCGGTGAGTTTGGCGGAGACCGCCTCGAAGCGACGGCAGATGAAGTCTGCCGCCACCGTGGCATTGGTGGCTCCGCCTAGGAGGGGGAGGAGATCAGTGGCTGTGCAGTTGATGGAGTCCATGCGTCAGTGTGTATGTGTCTGCGTGTATTTTTTTATTTTTTATTTTTTTTGGAGATAAATGTAGAAGTCAGGAAGTGAAATTGAATGGTTGGTGACTTGGTGTTAGTTTTATCACCGAGAGACTCTCAGCCTCAAGACATTTTTTGAGAAATTTTTTATGTTATGACTATTTTATTAAATTTTGAGTCCAACCGACAGAGGTGTAACAAAAAGTATTATTTATTTAAAATTTCAAAATGCTAAATGCTAAAAAAAATATAGTATATTTTAATATTTTTTGTAAATGAGTAGTGACAAAATCTCAATAGATGATTAAAATCTAGGATGTCAGTTATTGAATGAAATTTCAATTCTAATTCATGTATTTTCGATGCATGTTTTATATGCATTATTAGAAAAAATTGAGCGGTGTAATGAATAAGGTTGTAACTTTTTATTGTCTGTTAATATTGTTCAAAACTATCTGATTCTCCCTTCGAGATATAGTATAATTGTTTTAAAGAATGATCGTGTTCTTGATGGTTGAGATATAAATAGAAATTATTCAAGTAAATCGATAAAACTACCTTGCATCCTCGGAAAAATGATAGAACAAACAATCTAAATACGATGCAACTCAGAAATGTTATATTTTAATGCTTTGAAAATACAAAAGGAGAATACAATTAAAACATCAAGAAGCTGAATAAACCTAGGTCACATTTGGGAGCTAAGATTTTATGCTCCCAAAATACAAAGAGTTGATTAATTTGTAGGGCAAAATCATGCCCTTGAATCCAAAGCCATGACAGTATTGAGGTTCATGGGGTGCATATAAGCGTTTGAACCTGTCAGAATTTGTTGTACAATGAGTCTATTAGCCCTTTCAGAGGGATGGAAAGGGTCCCAAAACACATATTCATCTCTATTTGGGCACAAATTTGATACAGGTGTGCAAAGGCCTACGCCGTTATAGGGTCCTTGTCCGCAACAAGCTATCTTCGATGTTGTAAATCCTGCATGCCCATATATTTTTTCAAAGTCATCGAGCTTATTTCAAAGTCATCATGAGGAAGCTCGATTTGCAGTACTATAGAGCGTTAAAGAATAAAAAGGTAGAAATTATTTTTGCAACGTCGAATCTAATCGAATATTGCACACAAAGGGCAAAAAATGCAAATGTTTGTTTACAATTCTCTTATGGGTCAATTTTAGTCTTCACTCTTGGGGTTCTAATTGAATTACAAAAAACAAATACTTATAATCTTGTAGTCAAGTATTGTCGAAATAAGTTAATTTGATACATGTTTACTTATTATAACTTGATAAATAAGTATTAAAATGAATAAACTTTGTGTTTGGGGATTTTTTTGTAACTACAACAAAAGGTTGGGAACTAGTTTTCTTCTTTTCAAAGGTTGCATACGAACTTTCTACTTGAATAATAAGTTGAGGTCGATCGAAGCAGATTTTCCATATAACAGAGAATAGAGATATATAAAGTCGACAAATATATGTACCAAAAGCTTGAGGATTTGAGATGAAATCCATGTTCATTTGATTGGTGTTGGCTGCAATGAAGGCAATGTGACCTATTCCTGTGTTGAGTTGGTCTATCATCTGAACCAATTGTGGGTTGAAAAGAGATGCCGCAAGTTGCAATTCCTCTGCACATTCCCCATTCCTACTGTAATATGCCAATTCTGCTGGCACACATCCTAATGGCCCTGTGCCTGTCACTAAAACCCTTCGAGCCCCAAGTTTATACAGTCTCTGCATGCAGTTAATATATATAAATATATAATAACTCTCAAGAATTACGCACATCAAAACTCAAGAGTGTGTGTGTGTGTGTGAGAGAGAGAGAGAGAGAGAGGAGAGAGCCACACTACAATAGAAACTGCCTTCCACCACATTCAGGCATATATATGGTACGGACTTGGATGTTATCGTAAAGTAGAAAGATAGAGCATTGCGCATTACAAAAGGTGTCAAACGGAAGTTGTAGTTTCGTTTTTGCAAAGTTCAACAGGTATTGCATTTATTTGTTTGCAAGGTTCTGGATCTGTACAACAATGATAACAAAGTATTGTTCCCTGAACATTTGGGGTCGACTATGAAAAATCCATTTTTAAGTTTGGCTCATTGGTAGATGATGCAATTGTAATTCGATTCATGGACACGTGGTACCATACGAAAAATGAGAGACGAGTGTTGATCGGAGTTTGACAAGCAAATCGAGGATACATAGGAGGCGCACTGACCAAGATGTTTGGCTTTGGACAGATCTATTGCATAGGAAATGATGGTGTATACTATGCCATACAGTATGGTGTACATATAGCAGTTCTCTTATTGTATACAGGGGCGGACCCAGACAATTTTTATTGTAGGGTCAAAAATTAAGGACGCTCGAGTGAAACTCGGGCATTCCAAGGAAAGTAGACTTCTATCATTAACACTCAATCATGCCTTGCCTTAACACCCCAAGTTTCTATTATGTCAAAAACCGACATGACATATACATGAGTTTTTCAAAAACTAAAGATGAATAAACAAGATAAAATATAACTCGTTGAATAAATCGGAGCAGGAAATTTTCGAAAAAAAAAAAAGAATTTACCTGAT